AATCAACAGCAAGGAGGAGATGAAAGTGGCAATGAGTTTGTTATCAGTATAAGACGTGCACAATGGAGACATACGTGACGAATGCTAGATCACCCTTGTCCGCACCCTTATAAATGATCCCAATCCTTCCACTTTTATTTCTGTCCTACTGCTACGTAGTGAGGCCTGACGGAGCCCTGTTCTCCTTCCCTCTTCTACCTAGTGTGGGTTGTTGCTCTTTTCACTGTATTAGTGCTGTAACATTGTGAGGGTATATGCTGTTTGATTTAAGATCGAGTGACCTGACGAAGGGCTTATGCCCGAAACGTTGTCATATGATAAAGATTTAACGAAGAGAAGAGCTTCGCCGTTCTGTGATTACAGCAAGATTAAACACATGAAGCTCAGGGAACCATCGATTCTGATTAATCAATTACGATAGTATTCACCGTCTTCGTCAACGGGCACATGCGCTTCTATCTATTTTCAACCTATGAAATTTCTGAGGGTCTCTTGTGAAGTGTGCCTATGAAGTGTAAATAGTGAATTTTCGAGGTTTTGACCTAAGAAAAAAAAGGTCGTACCTGAGATTGGTGTGATGAACAGTGGTTCTGACGGTATGTTGGAGCTCGACGCTATTCCAGCCTCATTGACAGCCTCCACCTTGAACTCATAGGTAACACCCTGGAGAAGATCTCCCACGGAAAAGCGATTGGCAAAGACAAGTTCGCTGTTGATCTAGAAGAAAATCGTATTTCACAGGATCATCATCTTCCAAGAGGTAACTGACATTACGCGATAATGGTGTCTTTGATGGGCACTGACCTTTTCCCACTCTTCTGCGTCTTTTCTAAGGTAGAGCTCGTAACCGTAAATTGGGGACCCTCCATCGTCCTTAGGCTGATTCCATTTCAGCACGCAACCATCGCTACTCACATCGGAAACGACGGGTTTTTCGGTGATTTGTGGAGCTTTAAAGGCTCCTGCGGTAACCTGCAAAACGGCTCTGAGAACTTCTGTATGAGGCAAAAAACGGCGCTGTTCGGCTTGGTGGGGCATCTTCTTGCTCCCGACGATCGCTTCCGACTCATATGAAGACCTGTGAATTCCTGTAAAGCTATACAGTAGCAGGAGCTATACAGCTTCGTTAGCAAATGATGGAAATCAACACGTCTCCTCAAGCCACGACTGTAATTTAACATGAACTGGCAAAAGAAGCTAGCGAAAGTGCGAAATACCCCTCCTAAACAGAACAGCGCTCGAAAATTCTCCCTAGAGAAGTTATAGAACTAAGGACGCACAGCGAGAACTTCAACCGCTTCACCGATTCCATATTTGTTGACAGCTGCCACACTGAATTCGTAGCCGGTCGCGGTCTTTAGGTCTTCTACAATGAAGGATGTTTGGAGATTAGAAACCTGAAATGGTACTTGTACTGATAGTGCTCTTCTGAAAGCAGATGCCTTCACTTCAACAAAATCATAAGTTTAGGAAAGCTGGCGGGATACCGCTGAACTTTGCGCGTGAAGTTAAATGTTTCGGTTCTGAGAGTGCACACAATTAGAAACTGCAGGGAGAGGACAGGAAGCGAGAGCGATACTTTGCTTCCACCAGGCCAGAGGTTACCTAAGCGAAAACCAAGTAGTGTTGTGTGCACTCGCAGGTACTACGCGCGGTTTGGGGTACTGTACTCCGTCCGATCCCCTAAACATATATTTAGTTCAGTTTCACTTCATACCTCAGCAACTTTCTGGACCGTCCGTCGTCCACGTTCTTTCTTCATAATCACGTATCCCGTTATGGGTTCGCCTCCATCATCCAGAGGTTTCTGCCAGGTGATCGAAACAGAATCGCTTCTGATTTCGCTGACAGAAATTTCCGCTGGTGGGTCAGGTACATCTGAAGCAAATAAGGTCTATTATTAGGACACAATTTCGGCGCAGTTCTTCGGGGGAGTGGCATTTTGTACTTTCGCTGCTTCACCTGTTTACACGTTCATCAGTCCGGTTGTCAACACTTGTAAGTTCATGAAATAATCCGGGAAATGAATTTCACCTTGAATTTACAAGAGTTGACAGGTGATCTTCACTAACTTTGCCTTGTTTCATTTT